AATTCAGTTTATTTGTTATAAACTGTTAACTTTAATGTAAATCTATAATAATATTTATGAAGGACACTACAATGCATGCATGTTTGATCTGTCCACAAGTTTGGTGGAAAAGTAAATGCTTAGATTTTCAAAAGGCTGGTAAGTGTAATCTGGAGAAACTTGGCTAAACAACTCACAGCATACTCCAATGGGAACTGAGCACATATAAAATCTTTGTAGGATTAAACCACTGCATTGATTGTCATCCCATGAAGAAGAGAAGCTATGTAAAATAATAGGGAAAGTAATTTCATTTTTATTTATCTTGTCACCAATTTTATGTTTTAACTTACCTTTAAGTCAATAGAAATAAATTCCAACTGACATAGGATTCTAAGTGAATGCTTCCAGTGTGGCTTTGTGGTGCTGGTATCTGCAGGATACCAATCCATCAGAACCACAGTTCTGAAGTTCTTCTGCAGATTGCTGAGCTTTTGTGGATATCTCAATGGAAATTATTTCGAGGCTTCTACAATCCATTGTAATCATGGCACAACTACCTGGCAGACCAAAAAATCAGATCTCTCCAAACATCTGGACAGCAATCAAAGAACACTGCTAAGCACTTGTTCCCATGTATTTTCCCACTCATTTTCTGTTAAAGAAAGGATGCCAGAAAATTCTTTACCTATGGGTTTATGTTTCAGGAGTTGCAGTAAGCTCCTCCTTTAGCAAATATTGCTGCAGTATATTACAATCCAATCCAGGAGCCAAGGATTGAATGGAGATGAATTCTAAATATCTTCTCACATTTGCTTACACATCACTCACAGATCTTTTACTTCCAGTGCCAGTTCAGTTTGGAGAAGCTGAGGCATGCAGAGAATGTAATATTATCCTTATTGTGCAGAGAAATACCAAGGCTCCATACTTATTCAATTTAATATCTCTGTTTCTCTAAATCATAGGAAAAAAATTAACTAGAAGAGACCTCTGGACATCTTTTGGTGCACATCTTTGCCCTGCCACCATGGCCAATTTTGAAATTAGACCAAACTTCATAGTTATTTCACTTTTTTCAGGGTATTTCAAACTATTTTATAGGGATAAATATCATCATTATTTTCCTCCTCTTAACTGATGAGTAAAATATTAATGAGGACAAATAACTTCTTAATATCATACTAGTTTGGAACAAATGATTGACTTCCATATTCCCTGAAAGGTTATTGAGGTATTTCTCTAGATCTAAATGCAGCCAGGATATTACTCCAGATCTCATGTCTCAAAGTTTCATACTCCTTTTATTAGGCTTTAACAAAAGGACTTCAGTCATCAGGACATTCAGTTCACAGGAATTTTTAATAATATAGTAAAAGGGATCCCTTCCCTTCCCTTCCCTTCCCTTCCCTTCCCTTCCCTTCCCTTCCCTTCCCTTCCCTTCCCTTCCCTTCCCTTCCCTTCCCTTCCCTTCCCTTCCCTTCCCTTCCCTTCCCTTCCCTTCCCTTCCCTTCCCTTCCCTTCCCAGAATGAAAATGCCACTACAAATTTATCCATTCAAGCACAATGCTTTTAATGAGTCTCTTCAGTGTTCTCATGTGATCTAACTGTAAAACTGATCTATTTTACAGTTTTAATTGCTTGATTAATAAGAAAATAATCACAGTACTGAGCTTGCATAACAATGAGTGTCCATCTTTAAAACTTTTGTTCTCTACCCAGTTTCAGTTATGAGACGTAATCCTCGCATGGAGCCTACAAACAAGGACCTCTCTAAATATGCCTACCAGGATTAAAGCTAAAGGTGAGCAATAACTCTTTATTTCAGCAAGATCTTGGTTACAAATTAATTTTTCTCAGTGTACAAGGGGTTGTCCCATATGTTTTTCAGGAACTGGATCCTGTTGCTGTTCTGTTGAGACATATGGTGTCATTCCTTCACATTATTTAGCTCAATAAATTGTTAGTATAGTTCAGAGCAGAGAATGGGAGGGCTGTGGATAGAAAATGAATGAAAAGCCAGTTGCATAATCTGATACTTTCAAATGTGTGATATTGCAGGAAGGCCAGCATTTATTTGAGGGGTTTTTTAAACATTTTAGAATATGTTTTAAATTCATTTAGCTAGAATAGTTCAGATAAATTAGTAACGGTGGAATTATATGGGTCAAGAAAGTCTAAAAGTAGAAACCAGATGGGCTTTCTATGAAGAGAGGCTACATTTTATGAGATGAACTAATATAATTGTAAAAAGCATAGAAGCTTTTGGGCTCACCAGCCTTCAATACCATGTGTAGATTTCAAATCAATTTTCAAGGGTCTTTGGCATTGATTTGAGGAGGATTTCTTTAATCTGACATGTTGCTCTGAGTGAATTACAACCATTTTTCTTTCACCTTAGATCCTAAAGACAACTACATATGTATTGGCATTCTCTGAGCCAGTTCACTGGAGCCTGTGAGCATATGTGTCAACCTGGCCAAGAATTTATCATGTGTATGATCTTCTATAGAAATCTGCTAATTAAAATCCCATTATGTATGAGGCACTCACATATTAGGGCTACAAAATGACATCCTCATGAAGACAGCTAAATTGCCACAGCCTGTTTTTTTTTTTTTTTTTTCTGTGAACATAGCTACAGTTAAAATTTGTATTTACACTTAATGTGTATTTACACTTCATCTGTATTTACATTTATCTGTACAAACACTGCCTCTCTCCAAACACCCCCATATATATGTGTGAGTTTGGGAGGCAGGGAACAGGTTGGGAAAAGAAGAACAGTTCTCACACTTGCAGTCATTTTTATGGTCCTTATTACAGACTTCAGGGATAAGAATCATCCCATACTCAATAACAGTCTGTTACACTGTTTCATTACCACTATATCCAAAGGCTATAACAGAAGGAAAACGAATGGGGTTTTATTCTACCAAGGACTTCTGGAAATGCATTGACAGAGGAAAATATAGCTGCAGCATAAATTCAGCAATGCTTGAAAATACAAAGCTGAAAATATTTTGAATATATAAATATATACATGTTACAGCCTAAAGTTTTCAACTTTCAAGAATTTGCCCTTTTGGTAACAAAGTATTTCCAGGATTGCTTCTCAGGCAGCTGCGTGAGCTGCAGAGACAACAGCTGAGAGATGTTTAACTGTCCTGTGATGCTCAGTGAGAAGTACCTGTGCAAGGTTTCCTGCATGGCCTCTGTCAGGTAAAAACTTGTAACACATGAATTCTAAGATACCTCACATTGGACAGCATCCTTGAACTGTAGTTTGTTTTCACTGAAATAAATAGAATTAGTCTTGCTGGTGGTGTTTGCATGGGGAATCGGTGCTTGCTAGAAGGAGGTCCATAATAACTGCTACAATTAATCAATTATAAAATTGGAATTTTGAAAGAAGATGAGAGAATGTGATTTTATATTTTAAGCCATCAGGTATTCACAGTTAAATGCCTAGCTCTTCATTTTCCCAGGATAGGCATCAGTAGCTAAATAGCAGCACCAATTTTCATTCAGTAAAAACTCTGTTTCAACACAACACTAATACTGAAATATAAACTGAAGACTTAATTAAACAAAAGAAAAATTATGACTAGTCTAACTTGCAACATTTGGCCTTTAAAAATCATTAGTAACTCATCCATGGTGGCAGTAGAAAAAATAACTTTCAAAAGAGTTTAGAAGCCTTTTGATCTTTTTTTCTGCTTTAAAATCAATTTCAGTTTGAAAATATCCCTGAAATTTTTCTCAGTCCCCGATGTTACAAATATTGCCGCTGCTGTTGAGCAGGAGTGTTTTCAGCAGCTAAACTAGGTGGTATTTCCCGTTGTAGTCTCACCAGTGAAAGAGGAGAGAGGAGTGGAGAAAAGCTGCCCACCTTGGACTGCAGTTAATGCCCGGGAGACAGCTCCTTATCGAGCACGTGTAGGAGAGAAAATGCAGGTCTTTACACTGTGTTTTTGCAAAGCTTCCTAGATACATCCTTTCTCAAAACAAAAAGAATTGTTTTTCTAAGACCCATCTTTACAAACCATGTGAAAGACAGGGCCCAAATTACAAAGTACTCTCTACCTGTAATACCCCTTAAAAATCCCTGTGGAATGCTACACTTTCATTACACATTAGCGTTGGTGTCGGTAGTTGGATACACACACAGCACCGTGCACAAAGGCCAATTACTTAGAAGCAGGTAAAGACTTTTCTTTCATGGAATTCAGTGCTAAGTCACGTAAATTTTTTACTTTTAGCCACGTAAATTGTTCAGATTTGCCCCGAGCGGGGCGCGGGTCCGAGCGCACGGAGCCCCGAGTGCCCCGCACGCCGGGCGCGCTCAGCCCGCACCCAGCGCCGGGCGGGAGCCGCTGAACTGAAAGCAGGTAGAGGCACTTCCTGCAGGCAGAATTCAACAGAGAAAGGGAGTTTGCCTCTGATCTCCTTCAAAAACCAATCAGGCCGGATCAGCCAGGCGTTGATTCTCCCTCCGTCCCTCCTACACCTTTTCCAGAGGCCCAATGGCCTTGTCCCTTTGGGAGATTGACTAGAGTCACATGAGCTGCACCAAGGGCAGGTAACTCAGGAGAGGGGAAGGGGAAGAGGGAAGGAAAAAAAAAAAAGAGAGAGAGAAAAAAAAAAAAGCCCAAGCCCAGACTGAGCTGCCATGATGTCAGAGGGAGAGAAACCCACAGCTTGCTAATTTCACCTCCCAATCGGCCCCGGGAAGGAGATCACCGGGAACAGGTAGAGATGGGAGCTTTCTTTCTCCATGTTTTTTTTCTTTCCCAACATCCTAAATAGCTCTTTCTCTCCTCTTTATATTGTGACTTCTCGTTCGCTCCTTTTCCCTTTGATTACTTGGAGGTAGGGGGTGAGCCTTGTGGGATTTTTTTGGTTTAATTTTTTTTCTTGTTAGTGTGTCTTTCTTTTGCTTTTTTTTTTTTTTCCCTCTCTTTTTTTTTTTTTTTTTTTTTGACCTCTGCTTTTGATTGTAGTTGTTTCCCCCTGTGGTCATGACGGCTTCGCACAGTGACTCTTTGGTGGTGTTGTTTGGGGCAACAGCTGGTGCATATGGGGCTAAACTGGGTTCGGATGAGAGGGAACTAATTCTCTTGGTGTGGCAAGTTGTGGATCTACAGAACAAGAAGGTATGGCTTCGATATCCGGGGCGAGGGCGCGTTCCCCGGCGGGGGCGAGCGGGCTGTGCCGGGCATCGCCGCCTGCCCGGAGCCGTTTGTTCATTTCACAAATGCACCGAGGGAAGGGAGGGGAGGGGAGGGCGCGGGGCCCGTGCCCGGGGCTCAGTCCCTGCCCGGGGCTCAGTCCCTGCCCGGGCCGCTCGCTCGGGAAGCTCCTTTTTGTTCCGTCTTCAGGGAAGGAGTAACTTTTCAAGAAAGTTTGACCGCTTCCACACCCCACTGCCCCGTCCGTCTTAAATCATGTGCAGCTTCGAGGATGTCTACGGACTTTTGAAGCTTTAAAACAAAAAGTTCCCCCGGGTGGCTCCCAGCGTGCTCGCTTCCCTGGGAGCCGGCTCACGGTCACCGTTGGACCCTTTGGGCCTGCTTTTTGTTTGTTTAACCAATGTTTGGATAACCTTTAAGAGAATATTGACTTCTTTTAATTCTTAGGCCAACCTAAAAGTCATCTCTAGTATTTTTTTTCTCCCCAAAAGCCCTATCATAAATAACCCCCTAGAGATGAAGGGCTTTGATAAAACAAACAGCACTATCAATTTCATTAGTGGATTCACGAAACTGCCTTTATATCAAGTGATCTTCCCTTTGTACGTAACAACTCCCGAAAAGTCGGTGCTAACTGCAAAAGGCCTCCCATGAAATGGGCTTGGATACTCCGAAGCAGAGAGCGTGGCTCTCCGGGGTGGGAGGGAGAGAAACCGCGGCCAAAGGTTTCGATTTGTGAAATAGACAAATGCGTTTTCTCCTGGCATTTATCGGGAGGTAATACTGCACCTTTCTGATTTTTCTGCAGTCTCAACACAATGCTAGAAAGAGCTATTTCTATTGTTGCTCACTTTTGTCCATAATTTCTTTAATGTTTTTAGGTAGGGACACTACACAAATCCCTGGTGAAAGCAGACAACTTGGACTTAAGTGACCAGTGTCGCGAAGTCAGTGGCTTAACACCAGAGGGACTGGGCAAAGCTGAACCACTGGACCGGGTTCTTCAACAGGTGAGGTGCTTCTTTTGGGAGCAGGGGCTCTTCAGAGTGAAGCCTGTGAATGAGATTTAATGGCTTTGAAAAAGGAAACAGAATTTAGTTTTGTCTTTCATTTTGAAATCACTAGCAAGTTTTTGTGCTTGTTTTTAAGCTAACCCAAAAGAGACCTGAACCATTTGAAATGGGAACTCCATAAATCTGAAACAGTTGTGTATGATACCAGATTATTTGAGTTGATGCTGTGAGTCCTTGGAAGATCTGACTTCTGGTTTTTTTGATGGGTCTACTTTTATTCCAAGTTTCTTTTAAGCTTTGAAAGAGTAGGCCAGTAAGAGTACTGCTTAATAAAGCAGTGCTAATCAAACTTTCAGACTTCACATGGTACATTCTAATCTACAGGTTCACTGCTCTAATGGGTATTGATAAACTTTTTCTCATTTGTTATTCTTAAAATCAGCTGAAATCTTCAAAATCTTTAATGTAACATCAGATATGCTTGTTGTGTATCATTCTTTTCCAGATGAGATTAATGAGTGGATTATAAAGTGATTTGGTTTGATTATTTTCTAATGTCTGTAGTTTTGCTCTTTGGCTCATTTAATATCACATTGAGACAGTGAATCTAACATTTGTATGATACTTACAGCTCAAGAGGACTTATGATACTTGAAAAAATTTAGTGCAAATAGTGTACACATAATGCAGTTCCCAAAAGTTTGCTTACTTTGACTGTCCTTTCTATGCATGAAATGTGCTTGAATGGAAAAATACAATAGTGCATTTTTGTGTAACATATAAACCTGCCTTTCCACACCTTGTCTGAATCATTCGTAGGTGTGTTTCAGCAAGAAACTTGCTTAGGCAGTAGAACAGGTTCATGTTGCTGTAATTTCTGGTGACACAGATAACTTGGCAGACTTGGTCCTAACCCTCTTTGATACTGCATGGTTAACACTACACTCTGGAGTTTCTTTGAACATGTAACTTCTATGTGGCTTAAAATCTGTCAGCATTGGCTGCAGTGGCATTTGTTCTAATTGTATTTGTTTTGTTAGAGTCCAGGACCAAGAGGTGATTTTCTTTTTATTTTTTGGGGTTTTTTTGGTTGGTTTTTTTTAAAGCTCCATAATAACCCCTGAGAAAATGTGCAGCTGCAGGTTTGATCTTGTCCCAGATCTTGCACTAAAGACATCTGGAACAGCTTACCCTAGTACACTCTGTTTACCTTTATAACAGACACACTTTAATTATACCCAATACTTTATGAGAGATTGTATCTTATTGCCGTAAATTGCACTGTAGGTGGGTCTGCTTTAGCAAATAAAAGGAAATACTACCTTTGTGTGTAGGTGGGTAGAGACCCTTGAAAAACAACAATTTTTTTTCCTTTTTGTTTGCATATCTATGCAACTAAATAATGATTTTGCTGTTAATTGTTGGATGCCTGTTGTGATGTGGCCAGTTCCATCATAAGTCTTCTGGAACACACCTTGCCTAAACTCTTCTCCCTTCCCCTCTGTGTCCTGACTTCTGTGGGATTAGGAAAGAATTAATTCAACTTCCCACTTGGAGTGGTGGCAAAAAGCAAAACCCCGTATTCTTTATTAGTAAATCCTTTTCTGCATTTTTGAAGACAAGTCCATGGGATATTTTAATTGCATCATGTATTTTAAGGATCAGGTGACAACACATACAGTTTTTTTTTCTTTCTCAGTTAAGCATTTTGATTAGCAAAAGCAACAGGTAGTTGAAGTGGTTATTTGAAGTGGAGGAGGAAAAGGAAGTAGACTTGTACCTTGATTTGAGATGATGTTACAGAGTACGTGAAATTAGCTTTCCACACCCTGCCTGGATTGTGGTAGAAAATTGATGATGCAGCTGAAAATTGCTCACCTTAGCACACATGTCAATCATGTAAATGAAAGTTGTGGTGCCTGCTTCTGGCTTTTTGCCTTGGGTTCCCAATCTCTACACGTAGAGGGAAGTGAGAACCACTGAGCACAAATCCATTGTAACTTTTATCCATGTTTCAGAGGCCTCTTTCAACTTCAAGCATTCTGTGGTTCTGAATCAGTGATTTGTAGCTGGTAAGCAGCAGATCAGCTTCTGTGGGTCTGGAGTTATTCCCCTGACCACAGAAAGTCTCCTTCTATTGCTGTATACTTCACTTTCCAGCAATGATGGGGTCTACCAAAGGCCTGTAGTCTGTGGTCAAGTCTTTACTCTGCTTTTAACCAAGCACTTCATCAAATAATGCATCTTTTTAATTTTACTTCATATTCTTTAAATGTTACATCTTGCACAGCTTACTACTTGAGTTTGTCTTGAAATTTTCTGAAATAGGGTTCCTTATCAATAAATTTTGGCTGTTGTAATCGTACAAGGTAAAGTCCTGAAGCACACTGCCCCCAAATAACCAAGCTGTTTGCTGCAGCATATGCTCTGTATGTTTGTTGCAAGGTTTTTAATACTGTACTTGCCCAGGGTAACAAGTATTTGATTCCAGAGGTACTACTGCAGTTATGAGATCCATCTGTGTTTTCTCACAGGTGATGGGCAGGGTTGTGATAGCTTTCCTTTGTGAGGGTGGAGTATGTACAAATGTCAGGGAAATAGTTAACCTGAAATTATAAAATGTGTGCCCTTTGGGAGCCCCTTGCTTGATGTATTTAGTTCAAAATGGTATTAATAACTTACCTCTGATGTGAGACCAGTAATGGTGAACTCACAGCTGCTGAGATGTTGCAAAAATGCTACTGAGTAGAAAACTGAGGATTTTTATTTAACAAAGTAGGAGATCTCTTGTTCAAGTGTGTATTTGGAACTCTCTTGAGCCTGTGATCTAAGCCTCTAAACATGTATCAACTACACTACTTACCAAAGGGAATAGTTTTCTTCCTGCATGACTGGGACATTCTTGCCAGTTTGATTGTTTAGATCCTCAAATCACAGGACTGGCTTATTTAGCATGTTATTTATATTTTTCTAGTTAATTGCTGTAGCTTAATAGTTCCCCACTTTGCAAGCTTTTAAGGGAGAGCAGTTATTCTCAGGTTGCTCTCTGAAACCTTGTAGGAATGGAACCTTGCTTTTAAAGAGCAAAACCAAAATGAACTTTGCCTTTCTCTCAGCCCCATTACTCTGTCATCAAAAAGCTGCCATCCTCATGTGCTTCTCTGATTGTAGCCATGGGGGCTCTAAGATAAAGATCCCATATGAAGTTGAAAGTGTTGTGGATTTCTTAATCCTTCCCATATAGAAAACCTGGCTGAATCAGCATGACTTGCCTTAAGACATGCTACTTTCCTTATGCAAGGCAATATTTGCATGTCTTCCTGAAAAAGGATGTCTAAGAAGAGTTAATAATGTTGGAGAACTGTCTGCAGTATTTAGCTGTAATTACCATCTTTCTTTGAACAATATACATAAAAAGGGAGACATTCTCATGTGAGACCTGGCTTTACTTTTGGGTCTACTAAAAACATTCTATTTTAATCTATGGATTGATATTAAAATATTAAAAATTAGTTTAAAAGACTCTCCTTGTCTTGCTAATTGAATATACTGAATCAAATACACCAGTGAATATTTTGATTCATATTCTTATACAGAGAGACAAAGCTGGGCCTTTCCCCCCCCACTACTCCCCTAAATAATGCTCAAATTGAAAATACTGAATGGTTGCCACTTTATCAGGTGATAGCAAATTGCCAGTTCCCTCAAGCATGTTTGGATGCCTATTGATCATCCAGCTGAGCTGCAGGTGCAATTTATTTTCAGCAAATTCAGCAAGAAACAAGCTGGTTAAATGAGCTTTTGGAAACAAATGGGATGGGGGGAGAGGTGGAAGAACTCATGAATTCCTCTAACCTGATAAACCGGTTACAACCCTTTTTTTAAGAGAAACTTGTTCTGCAGCTTCTTCCTCACAAAGTGCTAGCAGAACGTTTTCTTGCTTCCCTTGCCAGCTGTCACATCTTCATTTTGGTTAAATGATTTTTAAAATTTATTTTTAATACACCTCTCAGTCTTCAAACTGCAGAAAAATCTGAAAATGTGGGTGACTTTTTTTTTTGAGTCCTACAGTTGATCTTCCAACTTCAGATTATTTGTTGACTGCATCACCACAATAAAACTTCTAACAGAGTTTGGAGTATTTGCTGGGTCTGAGCTCTGGTGGTTTGGAGCAGGTGTTTGGCGAATCTTTGGCAAGTGTTACCAGACAGGCTGCTCTGTCCACAACAAACACTTCGGCTGTCGTTTCACAAGATTTGGCTTCGGCAGTGAAGCCAACTTCTCCCCTGGCCCTACACCAGACTTTGCCATCTTTTTGTTGTGTCAGTAAAACCCTTTGTGAAGCTGTGCTGTAAACAGGATCACTGAAATGAGCAGATGGGGTGGGAACTTAAAACTGCTTTGCTGTCCAAGCTCACATCCTGTGAAACTACACCCTTTGGTGGTGTTTTCATGATCCAACATGTTTGATGGCGATACCAGCTTAAGCTGTTTCTGCTCCTGAGCACTTCAGTGGCAGCTTTCACTTAGGCAGGTGCTGCTACATGGCCCTCCCTCCTGCATTCTGCCTGTACAAAAGTCTTTGGGGCTGCAGATGGAGCTGGAGCAGGGCACTGTTCTGAGTTGAAGGCAGTTCTGGTTTGGAGTGGTTCTGTCTGATGCTCATGTGGCCGATTAGGAAGTTTTCCCAAGGGCAGCCGTAGCACGAAGGTGTGGGTGAAAGGAGGGTAACATTTTAAGACAGGTAGGGCACTGAGCAATTTATGTGAAACTGTGGCCTTGGTTTGGCATCAGCAGTGAGTGATGAGGATTTCCTGATAGACACAAGGGCCTTCAGGTTCTCAGGGTAGGTAAGTGATAGATTCCTGCTCTTACAGGAGGCCTGAGTGTCCTGTGTGCAGGTAGCCTTATGTAGAGTTTTCACATTTATTATCATCCAATAGCTCCCTATTTTCACTGAAAAACGTAGATGAGGATTGCTTAAATTATGTTGCATA